AAAAAAAAAAAAAAAAAAAAAAAAAAAAAAAAAACACACACATATGGAGTCTTACTGTTACATATATAGCAATTCTTAAATCTTTTTTCTCATAGAACTGGACAATTGCATCTCAACTCAAGTATTATCCTGTTGAATTATTATAAACATACACTCACTTTCTTTTTCATCTTATCTCTGTCTCATTTTTCTTTTTCTATATCCCTCTTTCTTTTTAATTTTTATCACACTGGTTATTACATCTAACCATTTCTCTTTTACTGGTTTGTTTGAAATGAAGGAAAAAAAATTTTAAAAAAAATGAGTTTTGATTTTAAGAGAAAGTAAAAGAATTTTGTTTTGTTAAATTTCTGTCTTTGCACGTGATCCATTCTTTCCTCTTTATTCCCAACCTAATTCATTGTGATTGTATTTTTTTCACTATTTTTTTTACCTTTCATTTCAAACACAGTATACTTTCTCATTTTTCTTCCTATTTTTCTCTTTCTCCTACCCAATATGGGGTGAACTTTTATATTTTCCCATTCTACTTGCACAAGCTAGTCACACACAAACCTTTCAGCAAATGATATAATGTTGGATAAAGCATGGTTTTGTAGTTAAACTAGTTGGATACTCGGGTGCAACCGCACAGTTGGCGGTGGTTTCTTCACATGCCTCCAATACCACTGCTTTTGCTGCAATGAGAACAAAGTTTGGCTGTTCTAACAAATTATTGATAGCATTTTATATTCTCTAATGGTTGATGCTAAGTGTTTTATTTTTTATTTAAAAAAAAAAAAACTACTAAGATTGACTTGATTTGATATAAATTCAAAATCATTCTTTATCCCTAACTACCAAAAAGAAAATCATTCTTAATTATATTATCACCGAAACACACGCATACATGCGTGTATATCATTATATATATATATATATTATAATTTACTATTTTTTCACTTTTAGTCTCTGTAAAAAAATTTATTGTTGTTTTATTCCTAATCCTTTAAGATGTTTTCAAAATAATTCTTATCATCAACTTTCATTAAAAAAAATCTCATGTAACAAACAAAATGTATTTTATATTTTTTATATTCTATCTCATCATTATCATGCAGATAAATTAATTTTCATTTTTTAAGACAAAATTTTAAAATATATTTTATTGCACTCGAACCCTTACTCATCTTTATTATACCCTAATTAAACTTATCCCCTTTAATTCAAATCTAACGTTGCAAACTCTAAACCTCTTAATATCCTCAACGAGGAGCAACTTTCCATAAATCACGATCTAGACAACGACGCTAAGTTCATCCTCATTGACCACCGCCTTTACGTGGTTGTCACCGACTCTACCTCACTATGAAGGAGTTCAACCTCACGCTTGACTACTCCTCATCGTTCAAGAGCTCTCGTGCTATCAAAGTTTCCATCACTTCATTGGTGTTATCGCCAATGTCGTCTCCTTCAAGGCCAAGAAGAATTGCACCTATTAGCTATCATGATTGTCATCATAGTGACAAGTAGGATACATCATCGAAAAAAGGAGGCTAATAATCTAGCTCTGTCACTAACAATAGCTAGGACGCAACGTTCTACGACCAAAAAGAATATGTGTGAAACGCATAATAAAGTGACAATAATGAAATATATTTTAATATTGTTTTAAAAAAATTAAAATTAATTTATCTAAGTGAGAATGGTAAAGTAGAATATAATAATTATAATATGTATTTTATTTGTAATGTACAATTTTTTTTAACTAGAGCTGATGGTAGAGATTATTTTTGAAACCTCATAAAAGGTTAGGGATAAAACAACAATTTTTTTTACAAGAACAAAAAAGTAAAAAAAAAAATTAATAAATTACAGGAGAAAAATTATATTTAAGTCTAAAAACAAATTATATCCATTATATGGAAATATTCATGAAAATATATGATAATGTAAAAGAAGAATGTTAGTAACTTATTTTGTAATATATTATAATAATTACATCTACTTACATTATTATGCAAGTTTAAAAACATCAAATAATATCTACTTATCTACTAATAAGTGTGTAAATAATATTTCTTTACATAGTGTTTGATTAGAAGAAAATTGAGGAAGGAAATGATTTTTTAAAAATTTATTTTGTTTAATTTAAATTTAAGAAGTGATGAAAGGGAGCAAAATCCCTTCTAATCCAATTTTAACTACCCTCCAATATTGGAAAGATTTAGAGATGAGAGATTTTAAAATATTTATGATATAATATCTAAAATATTTTTATTTATATTTTTAAATTTAAAATTATAAAAATATAAACATAAATTATTTTTAAAATCCCTCTAATATCCATGTAAACCAAACAAAATTTACAAATTTTTCCATCCCTCCCCTCCTTTGATTTTGGAGGGTCGCCTTAAGTTTGCAAGAAAGAACCATATGCATAAATTTAGGAACTAAATCAATTTATGTAATCAAAGTAAATCTTGTGTCTTTCGTTTAAGTTATCAAACCCAATTTCCTATATAAAACTAAGTGAATATATGGTCCTCGATCGATATACCAAATTGCCAATAAAGGCCAGAATATAATTATCAGAAAATCCTTCTAAGTTCTCTGCCCGCCATACCTCTCGATATTATTCTAAAATACGACAACACAATAGTGTAGGAAACTAAACGGGCGTAGCTAGATGACATACATTCAATAATTCTTCTGTAGGAAACTTCGGAGCAGTGGTGTCGTGGTGATCATGAATAATCTTAACGTATATGAAACAGTTTAACAAAGAAAAAAAAATAAAGGCAAATGACATAGTTATATTTTGGATGAAGAAAGACAATAATCCCACATTCTAAGAAAAGGGAAGGGAGGCTCAAATATCCCTAAAGTTCAAGTATCTTTGTAACAACTTTACCAAGTCCAATGCAAGACAAGCATATATGAGCAGGAAATCTTAATTAGATGCAGATACGTTTAAGGTGTGTAAAAAAAATTATAGGATAGAAAAAAAGTTAAAGGGACTTCGAAACCAATATTTGTGCTGTGTCTAAGTAAGATACTTTGGCTACAATCACAAAAAATAACACAGACGTACTAATGCACACTTAAATAAAAACATTCCTTAAGTTAGACGACGACATGGAAGTCTCTAAACGAGAAAACAAACACGTGAATTATAATTGACAGGGGGTTTTATAAAAAAAAAAAAATTGCGGCAGGAATGAATGGGTTTAGTAAGGAAATATTTTCTGTTTTTTACTTTCTTTTTACTATGCAAATTGATACATTATAGATGGACAGCCAATTAATTTCAGTGAGCTTAAGTTGCTTAGGAATTAGACTAAAATTACAAAGAAGTGATTGATTTATTTTTCATTTTTAATTGATACGCTTTTGTTTACTTTAAAAATATAACTTTATTTCTTTTAAAAAAAATTGTTTCCTGGTTTAATATTTATTTTTCTATTTTATTTAGAAAACATTAATATATAAACCAAGCTCAATGATGTCATGTGGTCTTACCATATTATGAAAAAGCTTTTGCTGCATTCAGAAAAGCTTAATACCACACAATATATATGCAAGTTCATATTTTTATAACTACTTGGAGAAAGGAAGAATTCCGTGCCTTTCTGTTTTTTTTAAAAAAAAAATAAATAAATATAAATAATACAGTGGCTATAAAGATAGGAAAACAAACTAAATAAAAATTATTAGAAGAAAAAAAGTGGTTTACTTAAAGTTATAAACACCAAATAGTTCAAAAAAAAAAAATGTGCTCACTAAAAAAGAGTATTATCTATTATTAGTATAGAGTATAGATATAGAGTATATTGACGAAAAAAAAAAAAAACTAAACACAACCTTCTTGTATTTTGAACAATTAAACTTAATTAAAAAAAAACCTATTTCGAATCCCTGGATTCTAAATTTGTAGTTGCGATAGGTTGATAAACATTTCACAGCACAACAAATTCATTCATATCAGTCAGTGAAAACAAACAGTATAATTATATAGAAAAAATAATAATTATATATGCTTTCAGTATTATATATATTGTTATTCTTATTGTTTGTTTATCATCTTAAACCTTTAAGAATATTCAAGTAAATAGAAATGGATGAGAGAGAAAAATGAGCGATCAAATTAGACAAGTTAAATGCGCAAAAACTGCATTTATATAGGGATGAGACTATTCACCATTACCAAGGCTTCCCGTGTAGACACATTATTCTCAGGGGCACCATAATTACATTTCTGGTACCTCTCAAGCGTTTTGAGCATGCTGCAGGTTTTGACAAAAACATATATTTGTATAAGCTAGATGTCACAAGTGCTGAGTACTTGTAAAACGATCCAAAATAAATTCAGTAATTAAAACTACACTCCACAAAATATAAATTATTGCTGAATAATATTAATCAAGGACAAATCATCCCATTTCTTAAAACATCTTTTCACTTCAATTTTGCTTTAAGTCGTTCGACATCAATAAGAAAAGGGACACACATTTTTTCCCAGCGATGAACAGGAAAAAAATTAAGTTAGAACTAAAAATAATAATATATAGTAAGAAACTCCATTTGAAGGCAAGGATGGGACTGTTCCTTAGATATATTGGAAATTTACAAGTTTTGCAGAGAATTGGAAAACTAGAAGTGAAAAATCTTAGGAAAGTAAGTAATGTTTTAGGGCTACTATCCGAAAGCATCAAATGACATCAACCTCTGAATTTCTTGACCAGTACAGAGAGTCACTGGTGGCAGAATTTCATATTCCACAGCAAGGAGTAGTACTAAATGATGGTAATTACTCAAGGACTAATCCTTCATTTAGATGATAAGAAAGAAAACAATGTGGGAGGAAAAAAATAAAATTTTAACTGAAGAAAAACTTTTAAAAATTAATGTTTTATTTTTAATGCTAATTTTTCTTTCTCTTCATCTTTTAACCAAACAAAAGAAATGATTTGTTTTAAATTTTCTTTTCTCTTGTTTTTTTTTTTTTCCATTCAAACAAAGTGTATACACAATTTTTTTCCTCTATTATAGCAATCATCTTATCTCACAATTTTTCTATTTTCTCTTCTTATCTCCATTGTATAAAAAGTTATGTAAAGTAATTATATAAATACATTTTCCCACGTTAATATTATTTACCAATAAATGGTAAAAATTAACAAATATTTTAGTATTGGATTCAATGATAAGAGACCATCCAAAGGAGCTAATAGCACATCAATTATACCGACGATCAAGAAAAGAGATCTCCTGTGAATGTAGGTGAGGTAATTAATTAAGATCCTTTGTGTGAACTGTAGAGTGCCACCTTTTAAACCCAGAAGAAAAAGCATGAAACATAGTAAGTTACTAACAGAATTTTGGGTACAATAATCAGATCTGAAAGGTCCAGAGTTGTTCCACAAAGAAGATGTGCTGACAACGAGAAGTAGCAGTTGAAGCTTCGGAAGACGCATATTTGAAACCCCAAAACCCACCAGCAGAAATATTTGTTTAGATAGTGAAGTGATTGAAAAACTTGAATAGAGGAAGGAGGTGATAGAGGTCGCGTTATGATTCTGATGCGGATTTAACAAAATGTCTCTGTCATGAAACGATCGATTGAAAATATCTACTGTCAGCAACATGGGGTAATAAACTAAGCAAGAGATGGATTTCAAGTGAGCAAAATGTGAAAACTCTATCATAGTGGATCAAAAAGAGGCCCAGGTAATTGAAGGGCTTGACCAAAAAGGAAAGCACGAAAGTTAAGGCCAAACAGAAGAATGGAAAGCAAAAACATATATAAATATAGCGTAGTTAAAAGAAAAAAAACTTGAAATGGGAGAAAAATAGTAGAACAATGAAGAGGGAAAAAAAAAACTATAGAGAAACAAAAGAAACCCTAGGCCCCATATTGATGAAACATATAATTTTAACTTTAAAAAAGGGCGTATTTCACGGTAAACGAGAGATGATTTTACGTTGTTTGAGAGATTTTGAAGAGTGAAACCAAAAGCGGACTAGCTGGTAAAACTGGAAATGGAAGAAACAATCGATTATATGCTTCTTTTACACAACACCTAATTACACCGAAAAGTGGCCTGACCCGAGGCTCCAAAATAACTTTTCCAAAACACTTTTGAACCAGATCTGTTTCAAACGCCGATGAAGCGGAAAAACGGCAACCACAAACGCTGGGTTTAGCCCCAAAAGAGGGAAAGAAAGAGAAAGCTGAGCCAAAAAACAATGAAAAAGAAACGAGGGCAGAGAGGAGTAAAAGAAAAATTAACAAAAATAGAGCGCATACAATACAACAGTGATCTTCGCTTGTTTAATTTATTTCATGTATGTCTGTTCGCGTTTAACACGTTTCCAGTTGCAGATCTAACAGCAACGCGATCGCAGATACACTCAACCTGCTATAAACGCCGAAACATTTCACAAAAACGGAAAACCCCAAACCGTGAAAAAAGAAAATCAACTTTTCTGAAAACAAAAAATCATAATTCATAACCGGGGAAGCGCCAGCTGTCTGAAAACAGCAAAAATCAAACGGACCGAGATTTGGAGCCAAAAATTATAAGAATGGAGAGAAATAGGGTTTCATTTAATTTTGCAAATTATTTATATATATATATATATAGATATACCTTGAACTGCTGCAAAACTCGTACAATTTTCCTCTATTGGAGAAGATGATGAGAGCAACTTCGGCATCGCAGAGAACGGAAAGCTCATAAGCTTTCTTCAAAAGTCCGTTTCTTCGCTTAGCGAAGGTCACTTGCCTGTTGATCTTGTTCTCAATTCTCTTCAACTCCACTCTTCCTCTTCCCATTTCTCTCTCTCTCTCTCTCCTTCACTCTCTCTTTCTTACACTCTAATATCCAATCACAAAATAAAAGTATAAATTGTAGAATAAAATTAAAAGGTGTGAATATTTTGGTGAGTCACTCATAATAATAAAAGGCAATTAATAATATTGTATTGTGCTTAAGAAGGAGAGCAAAAGCATCTTTATGAAACCCTAATGTAAAGTCCAAAATCAAATCCCTTGCACCTGTCTTTTTCTCCCAGCTATCACCCTCTCGTGTTTAAACACACTGCTAACTCTATGACAGTGACACGCCCAAGGGAATCAAAATTATAGTTTTCTAAGTGCGTAAGGCAGTTTCCTGCTACACGTAAAGTGGGACCTAATTTTAACACCAAGGATATACTTAATCATAATCTTTTTTTTTTTTTATTCTATTCAATGTAATTTTATTCTAAACTTCGAACATGTTTTTATTGTAATTCAGTCTCTTTAATTTACCAAAATCTGAAATAAATTCTACTTTCCTATCATGATATCATCCATAATATTTTGTTGGATAGAGGGTTTTCTGAATATAAAGAGATTAAATTATTATCTATTTATTTCAACTATAAAATTTGACTTCGGTAATTTATTAGAGGAATAACTAGCTAGGATTGGAGGGTAGCAAAAGAAAAGGAAGCTATTATATCCCCCTATATATAGGAGAAATTGAGATGGTTTGTGTCTCTCTATTCATATAATTAATAGGGTGTAGTGGTGTACAATTATGAGAGATGAATGGAAATATGATAATATAAAGTTATTTTGAAATTGGATTATAAATATAATATCAGTGAAATATTTTTTAAATGCAATTAAAACATAATAATGGTGTATTTTGTAATATTAGTTAGAGGTAAAATAGTAAAAAAAATGATAGTGAAAAGTGAGTGTGATTATTATAATAAATTAATAAGTATACATTATAGATAAAATAGAATAATTGTATATATTTTTTCAACTGAAGTAATTTTTGAAATTTTTTCTTAATGTCTTACCTCTTTTGATCCATCTTTTTTATATTTATTTTTAAATTAAATCTTTAAAAAAATATTAAAAAAAATATTAAACGATATTACTTGAGTTAGATATTACCACTATAAGTAGCTTTTGTAAGACTGCTATTAACTTAAAACACCTCTTTTATGTATTTAAAGCAACTATATATATATTGGAACTTAGATTCAAAAGCATTGATTAAACATGATCAACTTTGTGTCAATTTGATCAATGTGATCGGTGGTATTTAAAAATAACTTCAGATTACAATATAACTAATATAACTTTCTTTTATAATATATAATACAAGTTAAAAGTACTTGTGGCAGTTTCATCAATGTATTCGGTGATAATTAAAATAAATTTAAATCACAATATAACTCCTTTATCATTGTGCAAGCTTATTCTGATTAATTTGTCAACCTTTTCTTAATAGTATCCGGATTCTCTTGCAATTGTTTCTAAGTTTGAATGGATATCGAAGTATACGTCTGACACGTCTCTCTTGCAGTGTGATTGGCATCATCTTGCTGTACTACACCAACTTCTACATCTATATATTTTGGGGTTATAGTATACATAATTCTGGTGTTGTTATTTTAATTCAGATAGGTAAATAAATAGATAAAGGTTGAGCTTCTTCTTTTGTTTAATTAGTTAAATGCATTTTTATTTGAATAATTAACATTATTTTTACTAGCGAAGAAACAGACGTTGCAATAAGCTTGGACATTTTGTATTTCGTTATCTGATTATAATATAAAATTTTACTATATATAAAAAAACGAAAAGTCAAAATGTAAGGAAATATAAACAAAAAAAAAGTCAAAATGAGAGGAACGTGAGGCCGAGTAAGAAAACAAAAAAGTGAGAAAAAAAAAGTGTAAGAAATATATGTGCACATGTCCAAGAATGTGTGAGAAAAATTGTTTGTAGCAATTATAGGATAAATAAGTGTAAGAATATGTGTTCATCAAATAGAGGTATTCTCTTTACGAATGTTATAATTAAAATTTATGTGCACATTATGTTAAAGAATGTGTGAGTGGACCAATAAGTTGTTGGATTGAGTCAACTAAATTAAATGATTTGTTGGAACAAATTTTTTTAAAATATGAAAGAGATTCAATATTTTATTTAATTTTAATAAGTTTTTTTTTTATGTCGAGTGTTATTCAATCGACATAAAAAGTGATCTAATGACATATTTGTAAATATGTCAAGATATTCTATGATGAGTGTTGCTTCCTTAATCATAAAATATTTTTTATATGATGGGTAAGTCAATATTGATCATATAATGTGTTAGTCAGCTTTTGACTCCAATTTTTCTATGATTAGCTTTTCTATGTTAGTCATCATAGAAAGAAACATTTTATGATGGGTGAAACATTTGTCATAGAAAGTGCTATGTTATATTAAGGTCATTGAAAAGGCAATCTCATTTGCACTCTTTGTTCTATTTTATTATTTTTTTCATATTTGCATTCTCAGTTATTAATGCTCTCTCCAGCAATCCATTCCTATACTTATTGTGACCCTATTTTTCCTTCTTTGGCAATGTCAATGCATTTTGATAACCACCATCATCCATCCTTCTCCAGCAACATCAGCTTTGTTCAGGCAATGTGTTCTCAGATTCGTTTTCATTTGCTCTTCTCTTTTTCATGCTTTGATTATTATTGTGGTTTTTTTTGAATGGTTGTTTTAGTTATTAGGATAGATTATTCATTAAATTATTCCACTAGTTTTGGTGCATATTTTGGTACTTGATTTAAGGTTTGGTTTGCTAGTCTGGGTGGAATATTTGGATACATATTTTGGTACTTGGGTGCAAGTTTGGTTTGTAACTTTGGGGTGAGTTAGGGTTGAGTGCTTATTTAGTTGCTAATTGATTTGATGCTTATGTTGGGACTAGTTTTGGAACTTGCTTATGGTGATAATTTAGGCTTTACATATGGCTCATTTGAGAGCTGATCTTTATGGGTTTTGTTGGAATTGATTTAAGGACTCGAAAATAACCACTTATATAAGTTGTATTAATTAAACATAATAATTTTATTTTTACTAAATGAGAAAAAAATATAAAAATATTACTTAGTCAATGCAAGGTGTATTATAATAATTAAAATATACAGTTTTTTAGACAATTTAAAAAAAATTAAATTGTCGGACAATGTTTTTGGTTAACAATATTATAATAGTTAAAAATATTACTTAATTAAAATATTACTTAGTTGATTTTGGTTGCCTGTATGTTTTGTTACTCTCTGATTGCATATTTAATTGTGGTGAATTTGATGTCATTACTTTCATTTTGTGTACTTATAAATAAATGTGAAATATTATCGAAATTTTGTTAAATTTAATGTATGAGATTTTACATATATGTATTAATCAAGTATAAATAATCATCTTTCTGAATAGATAAAACCACACCTTATATTAAAAAGTGAGGTTGATATAGTTTATTTCAGACAAACACATATTGATGAATTGGAGTTGGATGAACTATTTATGTACAATTGCTAAATATGAAAATATAGTAGAAGAGTTTTTTCAATTTTCGCAAAGGAATGTTACAAATAGTAATGAAAGCTTCTATTATCCTTATGTGAATTGTTTTAATTTCCAAAAACATCTGATTTAGTGAGGAAGAAGGAAAAAAAGGCACTTAAGGCAACTTTACGATAAAATTAATTTCATCTAGACTACAAAGTCTATTTTAGCTAGTTTTCGTAATACACTTCATGTTTTATAGTGAATGTACCAGATTCCAATTTTCCTTCTCTAGCATCTGAAATCACCTCTGCGATGCATTTATAATTTATCTTATCCCAAAAAACATAATGCCAAAGAAAGTGGTTTTAGATAAATAAGACGAATGCGTGCTGCAATTGCTAGATAATTAGTTATAACGATATATAATTTACTGTAGTATCATGTTGCGTGTTAACTGTGGTTGCCATTGATGTGTGCTGTACAGTAGGGGATAAAAATTTGCATGTTCTGCAATAGTAGTGTTAATAATACTACGTAAAAGTCTCATAATTATAGAATTAACTTAAATATCTGAATTGAGAAAAATGGTATGAGTAGGCACATTGAATTTTATTTAATTTTGATAGTAGCAATTGAAAGGTTTGAAAATTAGTTCCAGAAAAGTGTGTGAAGGGACATTTACCGAATACCGACCTTGGTCATGGAACTAATTAAGAGATGATATTTTGGTTTGCTTCATATGAGGAGGGAAAAACGTACCCCTATCAACAAGACATGTTATTACCTTTCCTGCCAAATCATGCTCTTCTTGGATTGCACTTCTTCATGCCTTATTTTTTGGAAAATTTTGGAAACCAACATCATGGCTGCAATTCATGATGTGCCAAATTGGTGCTTTGTCAGAACCTTACACTGCAAGTCTATGTGTGGTGTTCGTGTAACAAAGGCAATTAATTAAAATTAAATAAAATTATTTTAGCTTCAATTAAGAAATAATTAACTTTAGGCAAGTATTTTTTTAATTTTCATCCGCATTAATTCTTGCATGTCAAAAAGTTTTATATTATTTAAAATTTGAGCTCAGTGATAACTTATAAACACATTTTTTTCTTAACCAAATAAAGATATGATCAACAAAATACTAAAGTATATACTAATTTATATATAATGACTTTAACAACACAAACTTAGGACTTAAGGTTAGAGTCAACGTTAGAAGGAGAATTATCGAGACAATTTTTGTCTCTTATTTTCAATTTTAGAGGTTGTTGTAATAAGTTAAAAGTCTCATCATTCACTAGTTAATGATAAAATCATGTCATTTAAAACAGATAATACATGCAATGCAAAAAAAGGAAAAAAAAAACTTGAGGTTAGATTATTTTTAATTAAATATGTTATAGATGATTAATATTTAACAAAAACTAGCATCATTTCATATATAGGAAAATCATTATCATAGTGTACATCGTGGGTGTATATATATTCCAAAAAGAATTATTTGCTCTCATGCATGAATATATATATATTTTATGTTTAATTATAAATATTTTTTCTTTTGAGCTTACTACACAAAAAAGAATTTCAATCTAACATGTAATTTAACTCATGCAAAGCCTCAAATCTTAATGTAAAGATTGGAAAAATTAAACAAGTTTTAAATATTTTAATGGTGCATTTAAAATTTCATTTTCAATATAGGTGTTTATA